TTAATCACTTAATTTGATGTTCTTTAGGCCTATTTTTCTGCAAATACCTTAATTTTCTTCTTTATGGCCGAATAATAAATATTCCATTGTATACATACAGCACATTTTCTTCATCCATTCATTTTTTTAGGGCATCTGGTTTGTTTCCATAGCCTGGCTGTTGTGAATAGTGCTACAGTAAATACAAGTGTTTCTATTTCATCCTGATTTTCATTCCTTTGGATAAATGCCCAAGAGTGATATTGCTGGATTTTAAGATAGTTCGATTTTTAATTTTTTGAGGAACTTCCATACCAGTTTTCATACTAGTTTACATTCTTACCAATGTTTTATACACTAGCATTTGTTTTTTGTTTGTGTTCTTCATGATAGCCATTCTGACTGGAGTGAGATGGATTCTTAGTGTTGTTTTGATTCCCCATTTCCTTGAGGGGTATTAAGCATTTCTTTATGTGTTTATCTTTATTTTTATTGCTATTATAAAGATGATATACAGAGGGGTTACAAGTTGCATAAGTGAGGTAAATAGTACATTTCATTTTGGATGCCCATGTGTTTATTTGTCATTTGTACTTCTTTTGAGAAATATCTATTCATTTTACTGCCCATTTATTAATTGGGTTATTGGTTCTTTGGGAGTTTAGAATTTTGAGCTCCCATGGGCTGGGAAGGTGACTCAGTGATAGAATTCTTGCCTTGCATGCATGAAGCCTTGGGTTCGATTCCTCAGCACCACATAAGCAGAAAAAGCCAGAAGTGGCGCTATGGCTCAAGTGGTAGGGCACTAGCCTTGAGCTGAAGAGGTTAGAGACAGTGCCTAGCCCAGAGTTCAGGCCCCACGACTGGCCAAAACAGAAAACAAAACAAAACAAAAAACAACCTCCCCCCAAAAAAATAGAATTTTGAGCTCCCTGTGTATTATGGTAACTAATCTCTGTTAGAGGTACAGTTGGCTAGGATTTTTTCCCCCATTCTGTATGTAGGCTGTCTTTTCAGCCTAGTGACTATATCCTTTGCTGTGCGGAAGCTTTTTAGCTTGATGCAATCCTAGTTGTCCTTCCTGTGCCAGTAAGTTGTGTGTTTTCCATATTCTTCGCTGTAATAGTTTCAAAGTTTCAGGTCTTATGTTAAAATCCCTAATCCATTTTTGAGTTGATATTAGTACAGGACAAAAGATAGGAATCTAGTTTTATCAGCACCATTTGCTGAAGAAGGTGTCCTTTCTCTAGTATACACTTTGGGCACTTACATTAAAAATCAGATAGCTGTATATGTGTGGATTAATTTCTGTGTCATATTTGTTCCAATACAAGTTTTTGTTTTTGTTGTGTTGTTACAGTGGCTTATGTAGTATAATATAAAGTCAGGTACTAAGATAGCTCTAACAGGGGCTGGGAAGGTGGCTCAGTGGTAGAGCGCTTGCCTTGCATGCCTGAGGCCCTGGGTTCGATTCAGCACCATATAAGCAAAAAGAAAAAAATCTGGAAGTGGCGCTGTGGCTCAAGTGGTACAGCGCTAGCCTTGAGCTGAAGAGCTGAGGGACAGCGCCCAGGCCCAGAGTTCAGGCCCCACAACCGGACCCAAAAAAAAAAAAAAAAGATACCTCTAACATTACATTGCTTTAGCTATTCTGGGTTTTTGTGATTCTTATAACTTTTAGGATTGATATTTTTGTCTGTGAAGAATGATATTGGGATTTTGATGGTTATTGAGCACTGTTTTCAGATCTGAAAAACAAAAATATTTAGAGAACACACTTTACTGGCAGACGGGTTTATTTTGTTTTATTTTATTTAACGCTAATGAGAGTACTTATAGTTACAGGGATCAGGGAGTGACTTCCTTTGTGTAATTCTGTTACACAAACAGGTTCTTCCTGCCCTCTTAAGTGTGTCTTATTTCTTTGTTATAGCCATTTTCTGTTATCTTTCCTTCATGGATGGTTCACATTGATGTTTCTTCAAGGGGGATAATTGCGGGAGACTCCTACTGTCTTGGCTTCAGTCCCCTTTTTGGAACTGGAACAGCAAATGTTAATGTACTGAGATAGATTATGCAACCATGCGGGAGTTTTTATTTCCATAGGCACCTCCTGTTCTTCCAATGTGAGCAGGCCAGATAATGTATGAGTGGAGCTTTTTCAGCTCCTTTTTCACATATTGAACAACCATTTTCATAATCTTGTATCAGAATAGGGACTTTCAAAGTTGGATGTTCTATGTGTGCAAGCCCAATGATTCCTATTATCTATCTTGGTGTTAACTTGAACGTATGTCTATCTCTGTCTTTTGAGTTTCTTCCTTTCTGGCACCTGAATCTTCTCCTCTTCCCACTTTCCTTACCCCCTTCTTTTTCCTTTTAAACACTTTTTAATTGGCATCAATTAATTTATTTTTTATTGTCAAGTTGATATACAGAGGGGTTACAGTACATAAGTAAGGAAATAAGACATTTCTTGTCAAATTTCTCCTATCTTCCCTCCTCCCATCCCCTGGCATCCATTAATTGTATAAGGAGATCTTTTTTGACATGTCCATATAGGCATACAGTGTACTTTGGTCAAAGGCACCCCTTCAATCGCTGTCCCTTCCCTTATGCCCTCTTGCCCCTTCCTAGATCAATCGCAATGAACTTCATTGCTCCTACTCCTTGTGAATTAGCTGTACATTCTAATTTTTTCTTTCCTTGTCTTTTTTCTGTGTGTGTTTGTGTATTTGTGAGTGTGCATGCACACTAGTACTTGGCCTTGACCTTTTTAGGGCTTTGTGATTTACTACTTGAACCACAGCTTCATTTCTGGTTTTTTGGTGGTTAGAGAAAAGGGTTTCTGGGGTGTCTGCCCAGGCTGCCTTTGAATTGCACATCTCGGGTTTCAGCCTCTTGAGCAGTTTGTTTTATAGGCGTGAGCCACCAGCACCTATCTAATTTTTTTTGTTGTTGTTGGTCGTGGGGTTTGAACTCTAGGCCTGGCTGATGTCCCTGCACTCTTCAGCTCAAGGGGAGTGCTCTACCACTTGAGCCTTAGCACCACTTCCGTGTTTTTTTTTTTTTTTTTTTTGTCGGTCGTGGGGCTTGAACTCTGGGCCTGGGCGCTGTCCCTCAGCTCTTCAGTTCAAGGCTAGTGCTCTACCACTTGAGCCACAGCTCCACTTCCGGTTTTCTGGTGGTTTATTGGAGATAGGAGTCTCACGGTCTTTTCTGCCCGGGCTGGCTTTGAACTGCGATCCTCAGATCTCAGGCTCCTCAGTAGCTAGGATTACAGGCATGAGCCACCAGCGCCCGGCTCTCACCACTTCTATTTTTTTTTTCCTAGTGTTTTATTGGAGATAAGAGACTCATGGACTTTACTGCCCAGGCTGGCTTTGAACCATGATCCTCAGATTGCAGTCTCCTGAGTAGCTAGGATTACAGGTGTGAGCCACCGGTGCCTGGCTCTACCTAATTTTTCATATTGTTATAGCATGTCAGATCAACAGTTTTCCTCCTTCCCTTTTTTCTTCCTCCCCTTCTTCCTCCCTCCTTTCCTCTCTTCTCTTTTCCTCCTCTTTCTCCCTCTTTTCCTCTGTCTCCCTCCTTTGCTTTTTCTGTAGCCCATACTGTTCCAGAACTCACTGTATATCTTGGACTAGCCTTGACCTTGTGGTTTTCCTGCCTCAGCCTCTCAAGTGCTAGCTAGCACTACAGGTGTGAGCCACTATACCCAGCTAGAAATGTAATAAATTATTTCTTAATTTTATTTTCTGCTTTGTTCCATAGAATTTGAGTTGATGGTATTATACTTTGTTTGAAAAAATATATACATATATATTTTTTGTCAGTTTTGGGGCTTGTACTTTGGGCTTGGGTGCTGTCCCTGTGCTCTTCAGTTCAAGGCAAGCACTCTACTGTTTGAGCCACAGCACTACTTCCAGTTTTCTAGTGGTTAATTGGAGATAAGAGTCTCATGGACTTTCCTGCCCCTCCTGGCTTTGAGCCTGGATCCTCAGATCTCAGCCTCCCGAGTAGCTAGAATTACAGGCTGTTAGTTACCAGTTCTTGGCTTGAAAATATTTTTAAAAATGTATTTTTATTAACTTTAAGTAGTTGTACAAAGGAGTTGCCAGTCAACAAAAGTTTTTTAGTATAAAATAGATGAGGCATATATATAAAGTTGGACAGTAAAAAAGATATACATTTCCCCTTTTGCTCTCTTCACTTATGTACCCTGCCCTAGTTTCCTTTCATAGATTCAACTAGTTATTACTTTGATATACATTACTTTATTCAAAAAGTATTTTTGAGCTCAGGTCTTGCTTGGCTAATGCTCAGCAACTTAAGCCATGCCTCTGGCACTGCTTTTTGCTGATTATTTTGGAGATGGAGTCTAGTGGATTTTTCTGCCCAAGCTGGTCTTGCCTACCTCTGAATCTCAGCCTCCTGAGTAGCTAGTATTACAGTCATGAATCATCTAGCAGTTTTAAAACTTTAACATAGTGTTTAAACTAGTTTTAGGATTTTTCCATTTGTTTGGCAAATTACAATTGTTATTGCTTCTGATCTGAGAGATTAAATTACAACTTTATATTAGTTAAATGTTTTCTGTATGTTTTTACATGTAAATTGCTTATGTTTTAATTTTTGCTCACTTTATAAATGCCCAAAAATGTGACAAGAAGAAAAAAACTGTTGATTAGAGTATTTAAATCATTATATTTAATGGTAATAAAATATTAGCTCTAATTTTTGGGTACTAGTAGAAATGACATATTAAATTATTGGAAATTTTACTGAAATACATTGTAGATATCCTTAAAAATTGTCCTGCTTACTAACCAGTCCATGGCATTGTTTGCTTACATGCAAATAATTGCCCAAAGTGAGATCTGTCAAAACTAAAGATCTCCTTTTTGGGTTCCTCAGCCATAGTTTATACCATTGATTGACTAATTGCATCTTGGTGAAATTCAGTAACTTGGAGGCAAGAAATGGAAGTCTATGACCTGATATGTTTTCTTCCTTAGATCAACCTCTCCACTTCTCCTACTCCTGCACAGTTAATAAGCCGTTCCCAGGCTTCCAGTTCTACCAGCGGCAGTATTACCCAACAGACTATGTTACTAGGGAGTACCTCTCCTACCCTAACTGCAAGCCAAGCTCAAATGTATCTCCGAGCTCAAATGGTAAGACATGAGCACCAAAAGTTTTCAGTGTTTAAGGACTTGAGAGATCAAAATGTTTCTAGACTGAGTGCAATGAGGCATTTTTAATACTTAAGAAATGGTAAATTTTTTGTGTGTATGCCTAGCTTTTAATGCCTTTTATAAATGCCACAGATAAATCTACTTTGAATTAGTCCTTCTTGGTAACAAATACTAATTGTCAGTCATGGGAATCTAACAGAAATTTTGTAATGATTATTTTGTAATACTAAGTTTTGTCTTTTTCAGAATTTTTTCCCTCACATTTTAGTATTTCTGAAATCGAAGTGAATTGATGTCTTATAGTCTAATTTTAGTACTTACAATGATTGGTGAATCAGTATATACTTCTGACATTTTAGATTTAATTAAACAGTAAGAAATATTAATAACTTAGTCAGTAGCTGTAAGTAAGAATTTATACCCTGTAAGTAAGAATTTATAACCTGGATTGGAGTTACTGATAATTAACCAAATGATTCTTAAAGGTCTTAGTTACTTTCACATCAAATCTGTAAGATTGTGTTCTTTTCTGCACTCTTAATTTTTTTTTAAACAAATACAAGAATGTTAATTTGATTATTCTGTAGTTGGGTGCATACTGATTTCCTAATTTAATTGTTTGGCATCTTTGAGGAATGTAGAAATTGCTTGACATTTATTTTTTTCAGAACTTAGATGAAAGCTTTGACTGGCTCTAATGTGTATTCTTTTTTGTCCATTGAACTGTTTATATGTGTCTAGATTCCCAATTCTTGTTCTAAAATTGGAAAGTTAGTTTCCACTCATATTTCTAACAGAAAATAATGATATGACTCACCTTTTATTTACTTCAAGATTATTCAGTACACCTTGTCATTATTTCTCATTACATCTTTAATAATGTTCTTTAAAATTAGGTTGGAAATATAATTGAAAAAATAATCCCAAGCATCTGTGGCTCATGCATGTAAGCCTAGCTACTCAGAAGGCTGAGATCGTGGTTCAAACCAGCCCAGTCAGGAAAGTCTATGAGACTCCTTATCTCCAATAAACTACTCTGAAGAAAGTCAGAAATGGAGCTGTGGCTCGAGTGGTAGAGTGCTTGCCTTATACAAAAGAAGCTTGGGGAAGCTGTGCCCAGCCCCCGAGCTCAAGTCCCTGGACCAGTGCAAAAATAAAATAAAATACAGTTAGCTTGAGCCATTTGAAATGGTTGCTATCAGATTAAGCTGTGTTTAAGTTTAGTAAAATAATAAAGAACTAAAGTTTAAAAGATTTCTTTACGGGAAGCATAAAGGGGTTGGGGGATAAGGGAAGGTAATGGGATGGTGAATATGATCAAAGATGTTATAGGTGTGAGTATATGAAAATGTCAAAGTGAAACCCGTTATTTTGTAGTTAACATACTAAAACAAAATTCAAGATTAAAAGATTCATTAGTTGGTCTTTTTGGCTTAAACAGCAGTGAGGAACTGAATACTTCTTGAAATAATTTTGAAATAGGGTACTTAGATATTTTTTGATAACTGTCATAATGTATTAGGTTAAATTAGGTAGATTGCATTACCTTAGAAATGAATAAAATTTGTTTAATATTAAAAGGTTGAAGAAACTATGCTACAGAAATAAATTGGGTATTTACTCTTTTAGTCTATTTTATCGTAACATTTAGAATGAATATTTCTTCACGAATAGTTTGAAAATGGAAATCAGCCTAGGCTCATCTTATATATCTTTTCTAACTGAGTGAAACATTGTAGTTTTGTGTGTAGCACAGTTATCCTTGTAAGAGAACAGAACTTTGTGTTTCTTGTTTCTCCTTGAAATATAATTTGTGCCCCAACTAGTGATGGTAGTTTTCTATTTCAGGAACCTGAAAACAGTTTTTAGTGTAGTAAAACTTAAGTATAATAGCTAATTTGGGACAAAATATGGTTTGAGGATATCATATCACCAAAATGTATTTTCTTTGAGTACTGATTTATTTTTCCTACTCATCAGGAGCATAAGCTGGTTCAAAACTACTTGAAATTTTTTTTGTTTTTTTGAGTTCTCATTATCAGAAACTTCTCTTATCATGTGAAACCTTTTGCTTAGGGGATAGTCCTAAACTACATTGTCTTTCTGTCACAAATTTCAGTCTCTTGCCTGCTATACATTGTGTGTGGGACGTGTTCTTTTGCCTTAGGGTATTTTTTGGTTTTCTGTCTGTACAGCTGATTTTCACACCCGCTACCACTGTGGCTGCTGTACAGTCTGACATTCCTGTTGTCTCGTCGTCGTCGTCGTCATCGTCATCTTCCTGTCAGTCTGCAGCTACTCAGGTGAGCTTGTCTAGCTTCATAATGTGGTACTTGAAGTCTAGATCTTCATGTTAAAGATAAGTATTGCAGTGGGGCACTGGTGGCTTATGCCTGTAATCCTCGGTACTCAGGAGGCTGAGATCCAAGGATCAGGGTTCAAAGCCAGCCTAGGCAGACAAATTGAGATATTCTTACTTGCAGTTAACCAGCTAAAAGCTGGGAATGGAGATGTGACTCAAGTAGTTGAGTGCTAACCTTGAGAGAAAAGCTAAGTGAAAGCATGAGGCCTTTGGTTCAAGTTCTATTCTGGCACATACAGAAAAGATAAGCATTGAATTTGTGTTTCAGCTGCTGTAATTCCAGAACTCTTTGTTATGCATTTCAGATTGAAATCTATAAAAAGTAGGGATGCATTGATCTTTATTAAAAGTAAAAACTGTCCTTTAAACATTACAAAATAAAAAAGCAAGCCACAATATCCACAGTCTTTATATTTGACAAAGATTGAACCCAGAAAATACAAAGTATGCTTACAACTTAATAATAAGATCATAAGCAATTGAATTGAAAAATGGACAAAAGACTTACAGAGCCATGTCATCAAAAACAGTATTCAAAAGGCCAGTAGGTACCTGAAACTGTCTTTATAAGTGCAAATCAAAACCATGAACATCATGTAGTTACTAGAATGGCAAGAATGAGGAAGCCTGATAGTATTTCATGTTCGTGAGGGTATAGCACAATCAGATTCTCAGCATTTTTAGTGAGGGAGTAAAATGGTAGAACTACTTTGGGAAGCAGTTCAGTTTTTCTTATTAAGTCAAGTATTTAACATTCCAACCAGCAAATCCTAATGTTTATGCTTAAAGATGTGAAAGCACATATCCATATAAAGACACATTAAACATGTTTATAGCAGCTCAGTTCTGAATAGCTCTAACATGGGAACAATCAATTGTCCTTTATATGCTAATGGATAAACTAATTACAGTAATTCACAGTGGAATACTACTTAGAAATAAAAAGGAACTGATGAACTGAGAACAAAAATGAGCTAAAGTGCACTTCCTCTGTATCATCTCTTTTATATGAAAAAACAAAATAATCCATAGTTTAAAAAAATCAGATTAATGATAGCTGAGACCCAATGTTTCTTCAGGAAAATGGATGGGATAATGGATTGGACATCAGGAGATAGCTTTTTTGTTGTTGTTGGTCATGGGGCTCGAATTTAGTTTGGGCTCTGTCCCTCAGCTTTTGTGCTCATTGTTAGCACTCTACCACTTTGAGGTACAGCTCACTTCTGGTTTTCTAGTGGCTAATTGGAGATCAGACTCACAGACTTTTCTGCCCAGGCTGGCTTTGAACTGCAATCCTCTTATCTCAGCCTCCTGAGTAGCTAGGATTATACGTGTGAGCCATTAGTGCCTGGTGTTAAGAGAGAGCTTTAAGGAAGAATGGTATTAGGACTGGAAGAGCCTAATCCCTGAAGAATGATGAATAGAACATTGTGGCAGAAATTATTGGTGGAAGGAGTAAAAAGTGGTTCTCAGTGTGATTTGGACATAGATTATGGAGGACTATGAGTGGTAATGTGAAAAATAAGTATTTTTGCTGAAGGCTGTCACTCTACTACTTGAGTCACACCTCCATTTCCATGAAAAATAAATATTCTAATACATTTTATTTTCCCAGTGCAAAATCCTTGACATCTTATTGATTGTACTAACCTCTTGTTTTGTTTTTTGTTTTTTGGTCCTGTGGTGGGGCCTGAACTCTGGGCCCTGGGTGCTGTCCCTCAGCTCTTTAGCTCAAGGCTAGGGCTCTACCTCTTGAGCCACAGCACCACTTCCGGCTTTTTTCTTTTTGCTTATGTGGTGCTGAGGAATCGAACCCAGGGCCTCGGGCTTGCAAGGCAAGTGCTCTACCACTGAGCCACCTTCCCAGCCCTGTACTAACCTCTTAAAAGCCATATCTTCCTTGTCCACAACTTTAAACACAATCCATTTCCAGCCAGGCTACAAGTTTTATACCTATTTCCACACTACTATTTGCTCCCAAGTCTCTCTGTAACTTATTAAAACCTGCTGGGAATATCCATGTCCTAGCATGATGCTGAGCTGCCTATGAGATTTCCTCTGCCACATTAATTATTCTATCATGTTTAAAGTCAGTCTCTCACAAAGTCTCAGACACAGACAAAATGTAGACATGTTCTTTGCCACAATATGATGTGCATACCTATCTCTGCTTTAATACCTAATAGAATCCTTTTTATTTTTTTTCCTATCTGAAATTTTATGAGTACATGACACTTGCTCACACTCATATCAACATTCTTGTTTTCTAAGCTTCTACCACAATCACCCATTAAGCTCTGCTTACAGCATTCTAGGCTTATCTAACCTGTATACCTAAATTTTCAATTTCCTGATATTCATCTTACAGAGGCTTGAAAACCACAGATAGGCTGGGTGCTGGTGGCTCGTATCTGTAATCTTAGCTACTTAAGAGGTTAAGATATAAGGATCACCACTTAAAGCTAGCCTGGGCAGAAAAGTTAACCACAAAAAAATTGGAGGTGAAACTGTGGCCCAAGTGGTAGAGTGCTAGCCCTGAGTACAAAAGCTGAGGGGCAGAGCCCAGACCTAGAGGCTAAGGCCCACGACTGGCTCCCCCCCCCCCCCAAAAAAAGCCCAAAACAAACAACAGATTTAGGTGCAGGAATGACCTCTCTTCTCTAGTACCTATTTTCTGTTATTAATTAGTTCTTTCTTAGTCACTGTGACAAATAGCAGAGTGAACAGTTTTAAGAGGAGGAACAATTTCTTTTGCCTCATAGTTTTAGGTCTCATGGTAAGCTAGATGTCAATTCTGGATTGGGGTGAGGCAGTATATCAGGGTAAGGAGCATGTGGTGGAACAGAATATCTCTCTTCATGGCAGAAGGAGGCAGAGTATCAGAGGAAAGGAGTAGAGTTCCAGAATACCCCTCAAAAACATGCCCCTATGATTCCTCATTCCAACTGTGCTTCACTTTCCACAGAAGTCCCACCACATCCCAACAGTCTATTCAAACTTTGGATCTATCAATGGAATGAAGCCATTGAAGACAGAGTATTCATGATCTAATCATTTCTCTTACCCCACCAAGTATCAGGCCTTGGGGCTGGGATGGTGGCTCAATGGTAGACTGCTTGCCTTGAATGCATGAGGCGCTTGGTTTGATTCCTTAGCACCACATAAGCAGAAATAAGCTGGCTTAAGTGGTAGAGCGCTGGCCTTGAGCTGAAGAGCTGAGAGGCAGTGCCCAGGCCCAGAGTTCAGGCCCCACAACCAACAAAAACAACAACAAAACACAAGTATTAAGCCTTCAGTGCACAAGCATTTTAGCTTGATGTTTCATATTCAGAACATACCAGTAGCTTACAATAGAACTGGTTAATAAGCTGGGCGAGGTGGCTCACGCCTGTAATCCTAGCTACTCAGGAGGCTGAGATCTGAGGCTCACGATTCAAAGCCAGCCCAGGCAGGAAAGTCCGTGAGACTCTTATCTCCAATAAAACACTAGAAAACCAGAAGTGGCGCTGTTGCTTAAGCAGTAGAGCACTTGCCTTGAGCTGAAATGCGCAGGGACAGCGCCCAAGCCCAGAGTTCAAGCCCCACTGTGGACCAAAAAAAACCAAAAAACAAAAAACCAACGGTTAATACTTCAAGTTGCTTGATAAGAACACTTATTTAGTACCTTCTTTTGACTGAGCACTGTAAAGTGGATAGGGACAGTATAGGCTTTGAGCATTAGCTGATAATGTAGAGACAGAACATAAATGAAACTGAAGAACTTTTATAAAGCAGCCAGTATATCATTTGCTTTGTTACTTTAGAATCTCATTTACTTGACTTTACCTCCCAGGGTCAGGGCTAGCACAAAATATATTTGGTATCTTAATTCCAGATAGGCGAGAAATGAGAGGTGGCTGTTAGTGAGGGATTTTTTTTTTTCCTTAATGTTTGGAAATGTTATAAATCTTGGTTGAGAGTTTGGGATAATCCTTGTAATTTTCTACTTGAAGATTATTTAGAATAGTCCCAGTTATAGACAGGGCCAAGAAACAGACTCATTTTAGGGCTTTTCAGTAATCTTTTGTTTTCATGAAAGTTCTCAATGGCTGTAAGTGTTCTGTAACAACAGAATTTTTGAAAATTTTATGAAAATGATTTTTAAAAATACAGCAAGGGCCAGGCACCAGAGGCTGAGATTTGAGGGTCGTGGTTGGAAGTCAGTTCTAGCAGAAAAGTCCCCATGAGACTCTTATCTCCAATGAACCACTCAAAAACCAGAAATGGTGCTGCTCTGGCTCAAGTGGTAGAGCGCTAGCCTTGAGCACAGAGAGCTCAGGGACAGTGCCCAGGCCCTGAATTCAAGCCTCACAGCCAACCAAAAAAAAAAAAAGAAATCAGCAAGGTTAGTGTTCTCATCTCTGTAGTTAGAGCTGGTTGCATTTAATGCAGAATATTGTAGCATGTATTCTTCACATTATCATTATCTGTGGTATCTATCCTTTCCTCCTTTCATCTATCTTTTCCTCTCCTTTTTCCTTCTGTCTTTGTCTCTTTGTTCCTCGTTCTTCTCTTTTTCTCTACATACATTCATTTATTCATTCTGCTTTCATTTAGTCTAAATGATTCATCTTTCCTTCCTCTCCCTTCTCCTTTTCCTTTTCTTCTTCCTTTACCACTATCCTATCCCTACCCCCTACATTTCTAATAAAATAAAAAGCCACTTAATTATATTTAAGATAAGATGACTTAGAATAATTCTCCATTCCTTCAACATCAATCTGTTGTTTGAAGTACTTGATTCTGTGTGAAAAGTATAATATTCTTGTGTTGTCTTACAATTGTTCTTATAAAAATGTTCTTATATAAATGTTCTTATATAAATGTTCTTATAATTGTAATGATCACTGTATTTATTACAGCATTGTGTATTCATCTTTATTTTCTGTTATGTGGTTCTTAGGTTCAAAATTTAACATTACGTAGCCAGAAGTTGGGTGTACTGTCTAGCTCACAAAATGGTCCACCGAAAAGCACTAGTCAAACCCAGTCATTGACAATTTGTCATAACAAAACAACAGTGACCAGTTCTAAAATCAGCCAACGAGATCCTTCTCCAGAAAGTAACAAGAAAGGAGAAAGTCCAAGTCTGGAGTCAAGAAGCACAGCTGTCACCCGGACATCAAGTATTCACCAGTTAATAGCACCAGGTAGGATAAAATTTTTGTTGAAAATAGTTGCATCATTCATTTTCTTAGCAGATAGAGCAAAATGAAAAGAATGACATTTGAAAACCATTTAAAAATGTGTATTTCATTAATTAAAAGAATGACATTTGAAAACATTTAAAAATGTGCATTCCATTAATTAAAGAAAAGCATCTTACTGTATACATTAAAAAATTTTGAGAGCTGGAGGCATGGTTCAAGTGTTGGTAAAACATCTGCCTAGCAGGTGCAAAGCCTTGAGTTCAATCCCCAGTATGGCTGAATAAACAATCGGATTTCAGTAGCTAAAAACCACATAAGCAGAAAAAGCCAGAAATGGTGCCATGGCTTAAATGGTAGAGTGCTAGCCTTGAGCTGAAGAGCTGAGGGACAATGTCCAGACCCAGAGTTCAGATCCCACAACCAACCAAAAAAAAAATCTTCCTCACTGGAGAGCCTAGCTCAGTGGTAAGAGTGTTTGCCTAGCAAGCACAGGCCCTGCGTTCAAATCCCAATACTGCCAAACATAATTTCTTTGTTGCAACAACTTCAGGTAAGGATCTTCTTTCTATTCTTTCATATTCTGCTTTACTTTTTAGACTTGTTTTATGTGACTAAAATGTGTTTGTTCCTTCATTTAACTTCTTTTTTTCTTCCAGTTTTCTTTTCTTTTCTTTTTATTTTTTTTATTGTGAAAATACTGTACAGAGGGATTATAATTACATGGGCAAGATAATGAGTACATTTCTTATCAAGCATTGTAGCCTCCTCCTTTGTTTCCCCTTCCCATCCCTTCCCATCCTCCCCCCCCCCGCCCCCACTCCAATCCCCCCCTTCTCCCCCCCCCCCCCCCCCCCCCCCCCGTTCATTTAACTTCTTTTCATATTTCAAGCCCTATGACGGGGAAAAAAATCAGGTAATAGCCAAACTACATGATCTTTTGCAGGGCACCACATTTTTTCTCTTCTTTTTTCTTTCTTTGGTCAGTTGTGGGACTTGAACTCTGGGCCTGGGCACTGTCCTTGAGCCTCTTTGTGCTCACGGCTAGCACTCTACCATTGGAGCCACAGGGCCATTTCCAGTTTTCTGGTGGTTCATTGGAGATAAGAGTCTCACGGACTTTCCTGTCCTGGCTGGCTTTGAACCATGATCCTCAAATTTCAGCCTCCTGAGTAGTTAGGATTACAGGCATGAGCCACCAGTGCCCCGTAAGTACCACATTTCTGAATTTGTTTAAACCTCATGCTGTAGTTCTTCAAAATAGTACATGTTTTATGACAAAGCCACAGCTATGTTTCACTCTTGGTTCCTGTCTTCTTATTGATGGGAAGTAGATCTGAAACTAAGATTATTTTGAGAGATTTTAGAATTGGTAATGTCTTTTTCATCAATTAGAACTGTGTCTATAGGTTATATAATGTTATGTTTTTAGGTAGTGTTGTCTAATAATTATTATTATAATTGGTATTATTGTTTCTTTACATGTATTTTAGAGTGCTAAAATAATTGAATTTTCTTTACCATTTTTTCCTTGAAGTGGAGTTTCAGCTTGTTAGTTGGTAATTCTATTTTTATTTTCATTTTTTTCTTTATTTTTAAAAAATTTAAATTATTATTATAAAGGTGATGTACAGAGGGGTTACAGTTACGTAAATAAGGTAGAGTACATTTCTTTTTGAACAGGGTCACCCTTCCCTTGCTCTTTCCCAGTTTTTCCTCTCTCATCCCACAAGTTGTTGTATAGTTCATTTCAACATAGTATCCAGTGAGTATAATTGCTGCATTTGTTCACCCTTTGTCCCTCCATTTCTGTGCCTCCCCTTACAGTGATAAAAACATAAAAAATAAACAAGCAGAACAAAAAGGGAAGAAAAGGTCCAGTGCTTGTGGCCTATGCCTATAATCCTAAGCTACTCAGAAGGCTGAGATCTCAGGATTGCTGTTTGGAGCCAGCCCAGACAGGAAAGTCCGTGAGACTCTTATTTCCAGTATACTACTCAGAAAAAGCTGGAAGTGATGCTATGGTTTAAAATGGTAGACCTCTAGCTTTGAGTACAGGCTCAGGGATAGCACCCAGGCCCTGAGTTCAAGCCCCAGGACCAGCACAAAAAAAAAAAAAAAAAAAAAAAAAGGAAAGAAAACAAAAACAGCATTTTTTTCATTTCCTGGAGTTCATTTTGGTAAATAGTATTTTATATGAACAGATGAACATAGGCCTTGTGCCTTTCTATTTTTAGTATATAAAAGTAAGGTGAAGTTTAACCGAATGTCTGGAAATCATGAATTGCATTAGACTGAAGTTTGCAAAGCAATTTTTAGGGCTTTTATGCAGTATTGTAGTTGGAAAAAATATGTACCTATATTTTGTGTAGTGAGAATATTGTGTGGTTTGCTATCGCTGCTGTAAACAAGTTTAGGAAGCTAGAAAGCCCAAAACAGGCCTGGCAATGCCAGTTTCAGGTGAGGGCTCTCTTCTTGGCTTGTAGAGGCTTTCTTGCTGTGTTCACACATGGCCTTCCTCAGAATACAGAGAATGATGGAGGGGATCTCTCTGAGGGCTCTTCTTACTGGTACACTACTCCCCATCAAGTCAGTGCCCTCTCACTTTTTGTTTTTTGCAACTTCTTTATTGTGATTAAGAGATTACATAATTTTGCAAATTTTACAGTATTGTGGACAGTGATGCTTAGTTAAATTCATAGACACATTCTGACTTTCATGGGGCAAATTGTCTATTGTGGTCTATAAAGTTTATGCGTTCTGTGAGCTTTGACAATACAATTATTTCTTCCACATCGGGTAATGTGCACATTCCTTTCCTTTTGCATAGTGTCCCTCTTTCCCATCATTTCCTCCCTCCCATCGCTGCCATTGAGTTGCTTGGTTCGTTTTGATCAAAGTCCAGTCCAGCTGATGGGTCCCATTGTATGTTTTTTCCTTATTCCCTCTAGTTCTGTGTCCTCATCCTAGTTTCCCTCCAGTGTACAGACATATACCATATGTATGATCAGCAGCATGGGGTTATTTAGTAGTGATTTGACCAGATTAGTGAAGGTCTTTTGATTCTCAAGTCTTATTAACTTTGTCGTATAATCTTACGTTTTGGATTTAACATCCACTTACCAGGGAGACTATGTGATGTTTGTCTCTTTGCTCTTGGCATACCTCACTCAACATGATTTCTTCTAGTACCATCCATTTCCCTGCAAATGCCATTATTTTGTCATTTGTAATGGCTGCATAATACTCCATTATGTATAGATACCACAATTTTTGGATCCACTCATCTGTGGTAGACATCTGGGTTGTTTCCATATCCTGGCTTTGTGAACAGTGCTGCAATGAACATGGAGGTGCATGTGTCCTTGTATATTGGTTCCTGTTGTGCAGGATAGATATCTAGGAGTGGTATGGCTGGGTCATAGGGGAGGTCAATATTTAGCTTTCTGAGGATCCTCCAGACTGCTTTCCAAAGTGGTTGTATAAGTGTACATTCCCACCAGCAGTGTAATAGGATTCCTCTTTCTCTGCATCCCCTCCAGCGTTTGTCGTTGGCTGATTTTAGGATGTGACTGGGGTAAGGTAGTCTGTCAGGGTTGTCTTTATTTGCATTTCCTGTACAACCAGGTAGGGGGAACATTTCCTCATGTGTTTCTTTGCCATTTTTATCTCTTCTTCTGAGAAGTCTCTCTTTATTTCCTTTGCCCATTTAGTAATGGTTTGCTAGGTTTGGGAGAGATTAGTTTCTTGAATTCCCTGTATATATTGGATATTAACCCCTTGTCTGATATATTGCTGGTAAATATTTTTTCCTAGTTAGTTGGTTGTCTTTCTAGCTTGGTTGCTATGTCTTTAGCTGTGCAGAAACTTTTTATTTTAAGCTAGTCCCATTTGTCTGGTCTCTGTCCAATTTATTGTGACTCTGGAACTATGTTCAGGAAGTTCCTGCCTGTGCCTATAAGTTCAAGTGTCTCTCCTACTCTGTCCTGCAGTTGTTTCAGAGATTCAGGTTTGGTGTTAAGATCTTTAATCCATTCTGAGTTGATGTTGGTGCATGGTGATAGGCTGGGGTCCACTTTTAGTTTTCTGCATGTGGCTGCCCAGTTTTCCCAGTACCAGTAGTTGAAGAGGCTGTGCTTCTTCCACTATGTGTCTTTGGCTCCTTTGTCAAATATCAGCTGACTGTAGGCATCTGGTTTTATTTCTGGATCTTCTATTCCATTGTTCTTTGGGTCTGTTTTTGTGCCAGTACCATGCTGTCTTTGTTATGGCTCTATAGTAGAATTTGAAGTCTGGCATCGAGGTCTCTCCCATGTTGTCTTTTTTGCCTAGAGGTGTTTTGGCTATTCTAGGTCTTTTGTTGTTCCATATGAAATTTTGTACGTCATTGGAATTTTAATAGGAATTGCACTGAATTTGTATATTAATTTTGGCAGTATGGCCATTTTCACTATATTAAGTCCCAAGAGCATGGAAGGTCTTTCCATTTCCTGGTGTCCTCTGTAATTTCTTTTTTTATAGTTTTTTTTTAAACTGTATTTTTTTTGTCTTTTCTTTTTTGGTACTGGGGATTGAACCCAGGACGTTGCACTTGCTAGGCAAGTGCTTTGCCACTGAGCTACATCCCAGCCCTTTTTTTTTTTCTATAGTTTTTATAGTTTTCATTAAATAGTTCTTTTACATCTTTGGTTAGGTTAATTCCTAAATATTTTATTTCCCTTTCTGCTTGTACATTGTTTGAGTACAGGAAGGCAGCTGATTTTTGTGATTTTGTATCCTGCTACTTTGCCAAAGTGGTTTATAAGTTCTGAGTTTGGAGGTGGAGTTTTTGGGATCATGGAGGTATAGTATCATGTCATCTGCAAAAAGGGATAGTTTGACTTTTTTTCCCTATGTGGATCCCTTTAATGTCTTTTTCTTGCCTTATTGCTCTGGCTAAGGATTCCACGACTATATTGAAAAGGAATGGAGAAAGTGGACATCCTTGCTTTGTTCCTGATTTT